TGAAAGAAAAAACTTTGCTGCTGGCCAGAAAATATTTCCTATACCTCCCATACCAAAGGTGACATCAATGCAAATAGTAAAATGGGCGAACTAAACAGTCCATTTTGGATCGGATTGATCGTCATAATGCCAGGTAATGGCAGCAAATTGGTTTCGAAGAAGAAAATGAAGAGATGAAGATAGAAGATGAAAAATGCGAAACATTTATAGGGGTGAAGATGAAGAGACAGAATGTGAACAGCCACATTTCTGCCTAATAAACGGGATTAAATAGCCCAAAGTCTTGAGAAAAGTGGTGGAAATATCAAAAGAAAATGGACAAAATTTTTAGCACAAAGCAATTAAATGCTTAAAGAATTGACGACTAAAAACAAACGTCCAATAAATGCACAAGAAATGTTCATTAATGATGAACAAAGTTACAAAAAGGAAAAAATCGAATTACAAAAGAAAAAGACATCATATGTCTTAATTACAGTCCACCCCATACTGAACGAATTCGTTCCCTAAGTCTTTCCCAATCCTCGTTCTGCCGAGAGGAAGTGATGTTCAATTCAGCCACGAGATCATCATCAACTTCCAACTTCTTGTACTGCTCGACCAAGGACTTAGTTCGCTCAATTCCCTGGGAGGCGTTGCGCTTTTTAGCAGCTATTCTCGCCCTGCAGTCGTCCATTTTGGCTTGAAGTTCCCTCATCTGAGCAGCCAAGTTAACCATCAAAGAGTCTTCAACCATGACTTCGGAAGAGATTTCTTTCAACTCGTCCTCAGCCTTGTTAATCTCCATGCACAAAGACTCTTTCTCAGCTACGGCTCGAAAATATTGAGTACGCTTAGCCTTTAGTTCAGCATTCTTGGCCAGTATAGAAAGGACCTCGGAGTGGATAACCTTCAATGTCGCTTTAAAATCGGCAGAAAGATTGAGCGACGGAAGCGTCAGTACTTGCTTCAACTTCACACTCAAGTGCTCAAGTTCATCCTTGTGTCTGGCAGCACTAGCCCTTCCAATATCCATATCCATGAAGGATACGTACTCAAATATCGACTCCTTCAGGAACTTCAAATCTTGAGGACTTCCCCTTGTCTGAGCGAGAAGATGTTGCCACAACGGGCGGACTCATAGGAATATCTGCAAAGCTCAAGAGCAACAAATCAGAAACCAACAGCACGAGCAAAGGTAAAGACATCAAAAGACTGAATTACCTTCTGCTTCAATGATTGGGGGGTGACGCCCTGGCAAGAAGGTGGCTCATCCATGGGTTGTGATGAGGACCCTGGGGCTGAAGATGTCTCTTTAAGCGTAGCCCCCTCATCAACCAGTTTGGATGAATTAGCCTCGGCAGAAGATGATGGAGCAGGAGCTGTCGGTGCCAAAGCCTTTGAAGGAGAGGCTGAGCTTTTCTGAGAAGTCCAAAAGATCATCAGCACACAGAAAAGTTTCAAGTGTAAAAAAGTATACTTGTGAATAAACCAATTTAATTACCTTCCTCCTGACGATAAGAGGGGCATCATCATCATCATCAACATCATCCTCCAGAATGGGAGATGCTGAGGCTGGCCGTTTGCGGCTTGGGGCACTCTTGGCCGTAGCGACGGCCAGAGGTGTTCAAAAAGAGGATGAATGGCGTGGCTAGAATTGAAAGGGGCTAATAAAAAATGGCTGGTTAAAAGAAGATTACGAGCATCTATAGCCTCTGCCTCCGCCTTATTAATGGTATAAAAACGGTCAACTAAGTTCCTTGAATAGCAAGGGGGAACAGGCCAAGTTTGGCCGAAACCAAGCTGACGGGCAAAAAATTGGGGAGCATAAATCTCTACCCCTGCCTTGGCATTAGTCCCAGTTAGAATATCATGAAATAGCTCCCTCCCGGTTAAAAACTGAATCCAAATGAGCAGGGAGGTGCTCGCGCTATCTATGGTGGAAGGGGGATGTACATAGTTTGGAGTCAAAAAAGGAGGAAAAGAAAAAAATGAAGGGATTGAATCCAAAGAATAAAAGAATGAAAAAATGTCCCTTCTGGACATATTTACAGGAGCTAAGGGCTCCAGGGCTAGCCCATAACAGCTAGCAGAAGGGCGAGAGATGGATGGAGCACCAAGCGATGGAAAATAGAATCTCAACCACAGTTGAGTGAACCAAATAGGTCCACTGCCAGTAGGAGATGCACCATTCTTCAGTTGAGCTTGAAGAGAGGCCATGCCTCTATAAAGGCCAGCCAAAAATAAAGAACATAAATTCAAAGGCCTGCCACGCGCCAATTCGTGCGCTATAGGTAAATAACTCAGGGAGGGCTTTATGCTTGGCACGCACAAAATATATTTACAAAGCCAAACTAAAAGGAAGGCCACTCGCTCAGTATGGGAAGGCTCAGCGCTTAAATGATTGTGGAGGGTTTGCAGGCTTGAATAAGAATCGATATAGTTTTTACCAAACTTTAGGGCGCCACCAGAAACTAAGATACCTGGGAAAATGGTATCGCCCAAAGGTGGTAGATTCACCAGGGCCCCAACATCCCTTAACATAATAGACATGGGGCCAACAGGAAAAATAAAGGTGTTATACTCAGGGGACCAAAAACTTAAAGCAATCGAAAAGAGTGCTTAATCAAAAGTAGGAGGGCGAATAGAGATTTCTAACAAATCAAGAATCCTAGCGCTATCAAAAAGTGCCTTAGTAGGACCATGACCCACAAGACGAGCATGCCACCTACGAAAAGCTACATCAGATTTAGGCCAAGTGCGAATACCTCTTTCGCGAAGTGGCCCCAGCGGTAGAGAGTTCAGGAATGGAGGACCCTGAGTGCAAGGAAATAACTGACCCCGCCGCCTGTTCAACTGCCTCTGCATTGTTGAAGGAAGGACCCAAGTAGAACTCATTACGTCCAACGTCGACGGGTGCGAGAAAACTTGGGGTTATGTATGGGCGACTCAGAAGTCTTTGAAAGTCATCAAAATTGAAGGAATCGCTAGCCTGAGATTGTGAAGCAGCCATTTGAGAAGGAACGAAGCTTTTCAGGGTTACGTAGCAGGGAAGCAAAAGATGAACAGTGAATCGTGAAAGAGACGCAAAAAATATAAGGCGTGGTTTGATGGCAGTGAAATGGCGTGTTTGGGGTTTATAAGGGTTTGCAAAACGGCGCACTTTTTCAAATTATAGAAGAAAACAATGATTGAAATTCTTGAAAATTTCGAATATTGCTGGAAACACAAAGTGAATATGGCAAAATTTAATAATTATTATTAATTCTGCCATATTGGGGGGTGATTGTTGACACATAAAAATTCAGCCCAAATCGAATAGCCCAAGGAGTGAAGCCCAATTGGAGGATCCTCAAATCAGATAGCCCAAACAACGAAGCACAATCGAACAAATCAAGATGAAGGCCCAAATAAGGAGGCCCAAGAACGCGGTAACGCCATCGCCCAAGTTTGCAAGTCGCCCAGAATCTGAGTGAATGGAGTGTCATACAGTCGCCCAGAACTGTTACTCTATTCTCGCCCAAACCTTCAAGTCGCCCAAGGTCTTAACAAACATAAAGCGTCGTGGTTATCAAGAAGTGCAGTTATCAAAGCAGTTATTGAAGCAGCCCTATCACGTTCCACGATTCAAGGAACTCAATCGAAAGCGGTTGAACGATGAAGAGTAATGACAGCAGTTAAAAAAGGCAGTTTTCATGACAAGTTGGCCATTACGAAGAAAGTGGGCAGTTATAGGACGATCAAGCAGTTTTTAGAGCGGTTGATCACAAAGAGATCGTTCATGAAGTATAAAAGAGAGAAAGGACATAGAAGCAAGGGACCGAATTCAAAACTCTCGAACAGAGAACATGTAATTTTCATTTCCTTAGTTTTTAGACTTAAACACTTTTCTTTCAGTAACTCGTGTGCCTGCGCCCCTTGGAGGCACGTTGTTTTTCATTCCCAATTGTAAAATCATCGCCAATAAAAGAACACCCTTTTTTGAGACTTTGTTTCAAGAGGTTTTGTCCCTTACACAATCGTCTGATCCTTTTTAATTGTTAGCGACTAACCCGCGCGAAACAGGACTGATTGAGTCTCGTGACAACAAGATGCTCTAAAGTGAAATTGCCCGTCGATAATTATTACAACCTCTGTGGGCAATCCTTCTCAGGATAAAACGATCACAAACCACTTGTGCAGCAATTATGAATAGTTTCCTAGAACTCTCGAATGTACTCCAGAAAAGTATTAAAAAAAATCGAGTATAAATTTTAGAGTATGAGAAATTGAAGTATTGTTTCTGATGATTTCGTTTTTGATGATCTTTTTGCAAACAAGATGGGTGTATATATAGGCAGAATGGATCCAACCATTTCTACCATGATCCAAAAATATTTGCAAAATTCACTGGCTAGTGGATAATGGGTTGTTAAAAAATGGTCATATTATACTAACTAATTTGACCCATTAAATAATTTCGCAAATAAATAAATAAATAAAATATTATTTTAATCAAGGAAGCACAATGTCCAAATCAAAGACTTTTTAATTATTGCGTGGAAAGTGACCCGAACCATCGACAAACAAATGCCACGTTTTCCACCACTTGGACACTTCATCTAAATTGATGATTTCTTTTACATTTTATATTCATAGTATAAATATCTAACATTCATCACTATGGAAACTTATATTTTGCAATTACATAGCTTCCACTTTAGTATATTATCAATTTACACACGTCTCCTCTTGATACTTTGATTGACTTCTTAGTCTTTTATTAGTACTCTTGACCTATCGATTACAAGACTTTTCTCTCCTTTGTATCCTTTTGGAACTGAAGTCTAGGGAAGGCGTAAACATCAACCACAAGAAAATGTAAAATTCTAGCTAGATAAGACATTCACTTTTTTTTTTTCTTCAATCCTTTTGTTTTTATTTAGAAAAAATAGGCCATATCTTGACTAGGCTCTTTCACTACTGTGCATATTTGTCCTATCATCTTGTTTCAAGTCTCCACTTTATGCTATAAAAGAAAAATGGGAGAATGTAATGTCACCTTGAGCAAAACAGGCATGGAAACATCCAAACTAGCCTTAGTTTTCCATCTTTATATTCTTCTTCTCTCTTTAGTTCCACTGAACATTGAATCGTCTGCAGAAGCAAGTGCTCTTATAAGGTGGAAGGAAACCTTATTATCTCATGATTTTCTCAATTCATGGAACATTGACAATCATTGGAATGTCTGTAGATGGAATGGAATTGTCTGCAACACTAAGGGTTCAATTTCTGAGATAGCAATATACGATGGAAACCTCAGTGGCACGCTAGACCATCTCAATTTTTCTTCGTTTCCAAATCTTCAAATGCTTCAACTTAATAATAATAATTTCACCGGGTTTGTACCATCTACAATAAGCAGTCTCTCCAAGCTTATTTACTTGGACTTGAGCCACAATTTCTTCGACGGCATCATTCCAATGGAGATTGGAAATTTGACAGAGCTTCAACATATTTATTTGGCAAGGAACTTCTTCTTTGGTTCCATCCCTGATATTTTCAGTTTGATGCCCAAACTACAAATCCTTGATTTATCTAACAATTCATTTCAAGGAAAGATCCCGCCTTCTTTAGGCCAACTTAGGAATCTTCGGCAGCTAAATCTCAGCATAAATAGCTTGAATTCTATAATTCCTTCTGAGATTGGTCTATGTACAAATCTTAATGACTTGAATTTAGATAGTAATTTACTTTTCGGGACCCTACCTCTGTCGTTGACCAATCTGACAAATCTCAAGGCTCTTTCTCTGTACAACAATACATTTTCAGGCTCCATTCCACCGGGGATAGGAAGCTTGCAAAATTTGGTGAGCCTACACCTGTCAGTCAACTTATTTTCAGGTACGATACCTCAAACAATCAGGAATCTGACAAAACTTAACTTACTTAGTCTTTGCTGCAGCAATCTTACTGGAACAATTCCATCTGAGATTGAGGATTTGAAATCACTGAAATCCCTCAGTCTCGGTAGGAACCAACTGAGTGGGAAATTGCCTAAAGCCATCTCTAATGTTAGTATGTTGGAAC